TCCTCTTACAAGCTAAGCAGTTTCATGCCATGCTGGCTGCAGACTTAGCTATCCTATCTCCACAGAACACTAATTAGGATGGCAGAACCTAGAGTACAAAATTTGAGCAAAATATCCAACAGAGAGAGAGCATAGGTTGAGCATGCATTCCAGCACCTTCCCACAAAGCAGCACTGACAGCCACAGCTTGTGCGCACGCACACACACACGCACACACACACACACACACAAAATAAAATTTAAAAAAATGTTTTAGTAACTACAGGGGACAGAAAATTAGAAAATGTAGAACCACTTTGGAAAGAAAACTAAAAAATGTAGAACCACTGCCCTCTGGTGGAAAAAAAGAGACAGTGAAAGCCAGAAGTGTATCAAGCACAGAGAAGCTGGTGCACCCATGGGCTGAGACAGGCAGGGCTGGGGAGGACTTACCTGTTTCTGTGAAGGTAAACAAGGAAAAGGAAAAACGAGATGAGAGCAGATAAATGCCAGGGATTTGAGGAGACGACATAGCACACCCAGCTGGTCATTACTGCTTTCTACTTAGTTTCCTTTGGCTTTCTACTGATTTTTGCCCAGTGTTAATGTTCTTATGTCCCTTCCCAGAATATGCAACACCAGAGGTTAAAAAGAGACACCAGGCCTGCGTGCTATCTACCTATCTGTTGCTGCTGCGTGTGAAGCCCAATTGCCTCTGTATGGTGTGAGGGACGGAAAGCAAGGCTCAGTACAAGAGCTGGCAACAGTGCATTTGCCTGTTACTGGAAATTTTAATGAAGCAAAAATAAAGGTATTTTCAAATGCCTCAACTACATGCCTTTCTTTCCTACACCTGCAGTCTGTGAAGTTAGCCATGTTTCTGAGAAATGAGCACAGGTGGTCCTCATGTCCCAAACTCATGCACCCTCACCCCTGATCTGTACTTCAGACTGGCTAAAACTGAATATAAACAGAGAGGGAGCAATAGTTATTTGTTAGTGTATTACAAAATATGGCACCATAATCACAATTTGCACAGAGACCACCATAGCTTTATACAGAAAGTGTTTCTACAAGGATCTGCCCAACAATCATTTGGGCAGCCTCAGATGAATTCCACTCATGTTTTTAGCCATGGTGGTCAAGGTTCAGCTTTTAGTTAGCTCTTGTAATTCTCATGCGTTTTGCCTTTAAATTTCTGTCCTTGCCTTAACATCATTGCCTACAGTTACAACACAAGGCATTTTACCACTGCAGTGGTCACGTACTGTTATTGTTGGGGTTCCTGTTGGGGTTCAAGTCCTGAGCAAGACACACAGAAGTAACAGGCAAAGGACAGAATTATTGAAGGTGAAGGTGAAGGAGGTGGAGTGGAGTGGGTTGACAGAGATTCTCAAAGTCCACAAATCTAGAAAGTCTAGAAAGCAATTTCTTATATACTTAGCTGTAAACCATTTACTTCCCTATAGAGACCTCATTTAAAACCTTAATCCATTTGCTCCCATTGATTATCTTGATTAAAATAGCATCTGAGTTTTTCCCCATTGGTTACTTCAGAAAACTTAATTAGAATACTCTCCAGTTCAAACCCCTTGGTTGTTTTAGAATGCCAAACCTGAGGCAGGAGTTGCCATGGTGATAAGTCTTTAGTGGTGGGAGTTGTCATGGCAATGAGACATAGGAATGTGATGACCCATCTCCCTGTCTAGTTCACAAGTGGCATTTTTTTCTTACCTGACTCTGGCATCTTCTAGTACCTGAAATTCTACATAAAAGTACCATCATTGGAAAAGAATGTCATTCCCAAATAATTACAATTAATCTTTTGTATTTTTTTTTCTTTCTTTTTTTACACTAACATTTTCTATGTTGTGCTCCATCTAGTATTATCCCTTCTCAGTTCTGTGCATGGCTTCTTTCCAGCCCCCTTTTTTAACTTTGGTGTATTCTGAGAAAAGATGTCATATAAATGGGTTGTGAAGTTGGGGTTCAGGTCCTTGGTTACTGAAGGTGACAGTGAAAGTAGCACTCTGTGAGGTTAAAGTGGAGTGGGCCAAGCAAGAGAGAAGCTCAAGGCTCACATTTCAGTAAAATTAGTCTTACATGCTGAGTATGAAGAAATCACTCCCCTACACAGACCTGATTGAAGAACTTACCCCATTTGTTCCCATTGGTTATGAAGAGCATCCACTATTCCCTCATTGGTTACTTTAGAAAGGCAAAATTGAATTCTGTCTGCTTTATCCTCATTGGTTATATTAGGAAGACAAAACTGAGGCGGGAGTTGCCATGGCGATAAGTCCTTTGGCGGGAGTTGTCATGGTAAATAGGGACATGATGATTAATCTCCTTGTCTTGTCATCCTGTATCAATGTAGTGGTAACCTGCCTCAGCCATATTGGAGTACTTGAACTCTAACATCTGCAGGGTAGGAAGCGAAACAAAGCGATTCCATTATTATATTATCCATTTAAAAATGAAATATTCCTCATACCGTGAGCTCCTGCCAAAAAGCCTGGGAAGCGAATCTGGTACACTCCTTCAGGTTTCCTCTATTTTACCAAGATCTTGGGATCAAAAGAGACAGGAAAAAGGATAGAGGAGGCTTCTGGGCCACCATCCAACTTTTGAGCACCCTGAGATCAATTAGGTTTTATCCGGACTGTGCTGGTATTTCACAAAAGCCTTCTCCAGGCCTCAATTGCCCTTGGCCAAACAGATGCCACCACGCCCTGCCCCGGAGGTCCCAGGATTACCCCACCCATCTCCCAGCAGGCCTGATGGGTGTGCACACACATGCCCTGGGGCAGCAGCACAGTTCCGTGGAGTCACGGGGGTCAGT